AGCTGTTTTTTTGAAATGCTCCACTATAAAAGTAATGCAAAAAACAGCATAGAAATTTTTTTCTTACATGCACCAAATGCACGCATTACCCTTTCTTGGATTTGAAGAACTCGCAGAAAGAAAGAAGAATTAGAAATATTGACAACAAATTTTATCGGTGTCTGGCTGATTGCTTTGGGAATACAATGTCTTTCAGTCACTCAAGCTTCGACACATTCAAATGCGAACGGTTCTCAGAAGCTATTCGGGCAAACAAGGCCAACGTATTTAGTTATTACTACTACATTACAAAGCAGAAGCTAAAGATAAAAGTGGCCGCCCACTATGTTAGAGAAAAGGTCTTTCAGTGGTGAAATCGGTCGATGTATTCTTCAAGGGTTGACTCTTATCTGTTTACCTACGTCCACAAGGAAATACCACAGAAACATGTGTTCAAAAGACCAATTTTATACTTCTAAACACTTCCGGTCTTACAGCAAGATTTAAAAAAATTAAGTTGTTTTCGATATAGAAAAAAAGTAATAAGCTAATTTTTAAATTGTTTTACACAGAACCAAGTAAGGAGATAAAATTTTATTTTCTTAATATACATAATTTCTCAGAAATTATTTTCCGAGTAATTTTTTTCAAGTTACGAAAATCTAAGCGCATGTACACTCTTAGACAAAAAAAACGACGCACCAAAAAGGGGTTATCCGAATGGGGCGAAAATCGGTAGAAGAAAAGTACATGTACAGTAGTACATGTACAGAAAAACAAATGATTACAGTTTGAGAAAAATTGGATGATTTATTGAAGTGATAGAGCTTCACAAAGTGAAAAAGTCAATAACGAGTTTGTCCACCTCCGACCCTTATGCAAGCAGTTATTCGGCTTGGCACCGATTGATAGAAGTTGCAGATGACCTCCTGAGGGGTATCGTGTCAAATTCTGTCCAACTGGCGAGTTAGATCGTCAACATTCCGAACTGGTTGGATGGCAATGCCCATAATGCTCAATGCCAAACGTGCTCAATGAGAGAGAGATCCGGCGACCTTGCACGCCAAAGTAACGTTCGTCAAGCACTAAGGCAAGCAGTAGAAACATGTACAGTGTGGGGGCGGGCATTATTTTGCTGAAATGTAAATGTGTTTTCAGAATCGCGGTTAAATGCAAATGAAAGAAGAGCAGTACTTAAGGTCGAAGTTCCACTGATTTCGTTAGCTATAATAGTGCATTCACGTACCAGTGAACCTGCTATAATCCTTTCTGAGTATAATTCTCCGAGAAATGCTCTTAACTCAAATGACTTGATTTGCTTCAGTAACATCACGCTCCCCGTTATCATAGCTGGTGATTTCAATTCAAAACATGCAGCATGGAACTCTAGACGAACTAATACTAATATACTTTATAATTTTGCCAAGGTAAATGATTTCAGAATTTACTGCCCTTAAAGCCCAATGAGATACCACCACACAGGATCTGCTGATGTCTTGGACATAGTCATTATGAAAAATATTCAACAAATCCCATATTTAAGTGTTCATATTCAACTGCATTCGGAGCACCTCCCCGTAAAATTCACCTACTACGGTTTTGAGAAGACTTTACCTCTCAGGAGTATCATGAACTGGTCTAAGTTCACCGAAATACTAGATAAACTACCTGCGCATTCGGCTGTGTCCGATAGTTCACATATTGAAGAACAGATTACTAAAATCAATCAGAGAATTAATTCGGCTATTGAAAACTCCACCACTTTCGAAGAACACATTATTGGTAAAATAAAGTCAAAAACCACCCAGCAAAGCAATGGCGCAGAACTGCCAGCCCGGCAATAAAAACAATTCTTAATAGGAAAATTCGAGAAACCGTCCTAGATGAATACAGTTCTGATACCTGGGAGGATTAGTTAGAGGAGGGCATGGAACACACGCAATGGGTAATAGCACCAACGGTGCGAATAGCTAAAAGGCTATTCACACCACCTACGTTTGCGCATGCTCACAATCAGCCCAGGTATCAGCATTTTACGCTGATTTCTGTAAGGCACGCGGTAGCGAGAGCGAAGGTTGTTAACCCTAACTCAGCAATAGAAAGGGTTGTTAATAGTTCACCAGCAAGAGAATAATTTTTAAGCAATAATTATTAGTTATAAAGGCGAGGTCAATCTATATACATGATAATGTTCAGGAAATCATTAGATAAAGTAGGGATTTAATGATGGTTCTAACTGCAAGCGAGGACGTGTAATTTGTTAAATCTTTAATGTATTGACAAAAAGGCTACAGAAATTAACAACAAGCTAAATACTTTAACAACAGGTTAAATACTCAAAAAAATGTAAGTACATATTTTTCTTTTATTTTATAATGGTATACTTCAATTTTTGTTAAAAAATAATACACTATTTTCAGTAATTGCTGAGATAATTATTGTCCATATGTTTTAATGTTAATTATATTCTATAAACGTATTTTAAAGTATTGAATTTAATAATATCTAATTCTTTTAAATGCTGGTATGATGATTTTTAATTCGATATTCAATTCAGTAATATTTTAATCTAATTAAAGTTGGCCAAATTTTTATAGCGGTATTTTATTCTCTTCTTTGCTATATGAAAGTAATAATAACCTTACTTTAGTATTTTATATCATAGTAAATGTATTTATTTACACTTGCCTGCCATCTTAAAAATCGACATTTTTCAAACAAAAATTAATCGTACTTTTAACGATATTATTTATTTATTATTTTTTTTTAAGTTTCGAATACTTTGCTATGGCGTAAAAACCAAGGAGGTTAGAATAGAAGGAGGGAAGTTCAACTCAAACGTGAAGCTTGGCGGCCATCTTCCTGTTATCACCGTGGCTTGTGCAAGGAAGTCTGTCATTGCAACATTTTTTCTTTTCTTTTTGAAACATGTCAGTTTGTATTGCATATGGATGCACAAATAGATTATCGAAAAAAATTCAGGGGCATTATTTTTCACACGTAAGTATTAATTTTCTTTTTTTATGTAATATGACATCTATGTCAAAAATATCACAATGTCATGTGGTTTCTTTCCAAATGTGAAAAAAAAGGACTTAAAATAGGTTATTTAATATAACTATAATCAAAATATATAAATACATTTTAATGTTTCTGTTTATAGCTGGTATCTTCGTTCAAGATACAATGCTATATGGTAGGATTTAAATTGTATAATTTGAACGTTTTAGTTAATTCGTTTGTAACTTTCATGAAAATAAGAAATCAATTGTTACTATTTTTATTAATTGTAAAGGTGTTAAATAAAGCAATGCTTTTCTTTATATATTAATTATTATTCATTTTTTAAGATAAACTGTTCTGTTGTTAAAAATTTTTTTGCATAAACTTAAAAATTTCTGGGCAGTATAGTGATAAAATTAAGTAAAATATTTACACAATTGAACATGTGGAAAGATGTATCCAAAACTTATATAGGTGTATTCTGTAATTCAACTTAATTAAAGGCAGTTTTCTTTGAGATTAATAAATATGAAATGCGCATAAAACTGAAATCAATGAATTCACAAAATCTGTTTTATTTATTAAGATTTATTTTCTAACCTAAGCAAGTCCGTGTGAAATATGCGGAACATCATTTTTTAAAGGCTTTAATGTTATGCGCATGCATTTAGATTTCGAACTATTTCTTAATAATTTGCTGTACATAGTAAATTATGGATATATCTTTATTACTTTAAAACAAAAAACAACAATAGCGAGGGATTTCATTATAATTTAACATATTTTACTGGAAAATAAATGCACGGAACAGGTTAGAAACACGTACATGTCACTGCCGTAATGCAATGTTTTGAAGTCACAAACATGGACGCCGCTTCTTCGGCGGAGTTTCATTCCCCGATAGTGGAGGAAACCGCGAACCCTCCCTCCTTCTATTCTAACCTCCTTGGTAAAAACAGCGTTTTTCAAGATGGCTGACGTTTGTAAAAACCGCGCCAACAATTGCGCCAAAGTAAATCGCCAAAAATCCGTGCAACCGTCTACCAAAGTAGCACCTCGTTCTCTAAAAAGAACGCAATTGCTAGCTGTTTCCTTGACTTAAAAAAGGCATTCGACAAGATGTGGCATGAGGGTTTACTCTATAGGCTACACCTTGCTCGATAGTAGAATCGGTGTTGGCTTGACTCGCTAGGGGTTGTACTTACTTTCCAGGCTCATAATTGGCTCTACTTTATTTGGACTTCAGTATGGACTTCGGACGCCTAGCAGCATGCAGTATTTTACCATATTTGCTTATTTTTCACTGAAACAGCAGCATTCTTGCATTTATCCTACCGACAGGTGGGATAAATGCAAGAATCGAAGCTAGCGGAGTAACTCGAATATACGAAAGACTCATCTTCACTCAGCACTGAGAAATTCTCTTCTCAGCTATGAACTTTTACATGTTATGGTACTCAAAAGTTATGTGAGCGCAACGTTGTTCAATCCAGGATGTGGCTTAAGCCCAGGGGCCTGATACAAGTGACGCAACTGCACCGAAGTCTTCTTGTTCATGTTTTGCACACTCAGATACTAATTTTGTTGTTGTTTGTTTTTTATTTGTTTTTCTTCTTATTCCATTTTATATTTCACTACTAAAGTTTGGCTTGGAAAAAACTTTTTCACGGATATGGCCTACCTTTCCTATATGTCTGCAACTGTTCAAATAAATTACATTGAAAAAGAATTTTAAAAAGAGGGGAAATGTTATAAAATGTCGCCACCTGTTCTCGCGATATAAAACACAAACATGACATAGATGTAGTAATACTGTATCTATGAAATGTGAGCCTTACGAATTAATATCTCAAAGCTACTTCCATTGTTTTGTATACTTTCATTTAATGCATGCAACAGAATAACATGAAGTTAAGTTACCTCTCTCGCATTTTATTGCTCAAGCCCCTTTCTATTGTCCTCCCCCCCCCATCTCTCTGATTGCCGTGGATTAATTTCCTTCATGGCAAAAAGTATTGTTCCAAGGTGCACAACAACTTATTTGTTATTTTGACCAAATCACTGATAGATAAATAGGCCAAGTTTCAAAATTTGTAAAGTAACTTTGTGCTGAGTGGTGTTATCTGAAACATTTTATAGTTTTCCTTCGTGAATAATTTTTCAGAAAATTATTGGCATGGATAATTAATTGAGAGATATTCGATATTTCCAATATGCCCATTGCACTTCATTTTATCTTATCAATTCTTATCCGATTTTTGTCATAATGCAATTATCTGAAGTAGACATACAATAAAATAAGCATTTGCTTCAAAAGAAAATGATTCGTTCTGCATTTAATAAATTGTCTTCAAAAATTTCTGCTAAAAGTTACCTGTTTAAAAATATGTCTACTTCCAATCAAAAGCTATTGGGAAAAGTAGCCATTATTACGGCTTCCACTGAAGGTATTGGATTTGCTATTGCTAAACGTTTAGCTACTGATGGTGCTTCTGTTGTCATTAGTAGCAGAAAAAAAGAAAATGTTGATAAAGCTGTAAGCGATATAAAAACAGTTAGTGATAATGTGAGTGGTATAACATGTCATGTTGGTAAGTCAGAAGACAGAAAACTTTTACTTGATTTTGCAGTTGCCAAGTATGGTGGTATAGATATCTTAGTAAGTAATGCAGCTGTGAATCCTGTTATGTGTCAAGTTCTTGATACTCCTGAAGAGGCTTGGGACAAAATTTTTGATATAAATGTCAAAGCTGCTTTTTTGTTGACACAAGCTGTGGTACCATTGATGGAACAGCGTGGAGGTGGTTCCATTGTGTATGTTTCATCTATTGCCGCCTATAAGCCAATGGAAGTAATTGGTGCATATTCTGTAAGTAAGACTACACTGCTTGGTTTGACCAAAGCTGCAGCAGCTCAGTGTGTATCACAGAATATTAGAGTTAATTGTGTATGTCCTGGAATAATTGAAACAAAATTTAGTAAAGGTCTGTGGTCAAATCCATCATCTAAAGAACTTCTACATCAATTTATTCCAATGAGGAGAATAGGAAAACCTGATGAATGTGCTGGAATTGTATCGTTTCTGTGTTCTGATGATGCATCTTATATTACTGGAGAAAGTATCGCTGTTGCTGGTGGATATTTTTCACGGCTTTAAATTCTTTTATTGAATTATAAAATTAAAATACAGTAACAGATCATGATAAATAGTTTATACAAATATTTTGCTATCTAAATATATAAATCATTTACTTTGTAATGGAAAACTGTATTTGATTGGTGTTTGTATCTGTTTGATATTTTTAATACTATGTTATCTTTTTTTAAAGTTATGCTATTAAACATTATTAGATATAACATTTTTTTCTTGTTATCTCATTCAAAATTATGAAAACATTGAAAGTAAATATCTTGTACAAACAAAATGAAAAATTACTCAAATATTAAAAACAATCTGTATTATTTAAAACAGTACTTTTACAGCATCATAAGACTCTAGATGCTTTTATTAATATATGTGTATGATTTTTAAATTAATGGATTATTTTATCTTTAAGAAAAATATACAGTTCTCATTGTTTAAATGCATAAATGTAGGTGATACAAACCATATTTAACGAATAATAATGTTCAGAGTTGTGCTGATATAAATTTCAACCAACAGAACAGCAGGATTTTGTTTTGTCTTTTCATTTTCATTTTAAAAAATATTCAAACTTAAGAACCTCGATTAAAAAGAAAGAGATTATTAAATGATTTATCATTGTTAATTTCTTGAACATTCTTTCAAATTTTCTTTTAAAATATAAGTTGGAAATTTGCAAATTTGTGAGCTTACAAAATGCAAAGCTTTCTTGAATGAGAATGTTTAAAAAATTTTCATTACAAGGATAATATTATAGAAAATGTCAAATCAACTATTATTGCTTTTATATTTTTAATGTTCAGCAGCTTTTAAGAAGCAGAAAGTTAAGCAATAAGGAAATTTTTAATGATAGCTCTACTAAAACTCAGCACATTATGACTACTATATATGTGTAGAACACTAGTAAATTCTTCTACAGTGCCTACTGCTTATTAAACTTGCTAACTGTAAAGCTCAGCCACTTATTACATTCAAATTTTCAGGCACCAAAACAAATATATACTAACAAACAGAAAAATTATCATTTATTAAAACTCATCTCCGCTGCTTATAAAACTCATTGGCAAAAGACTATATTTTTAGTGCAAAAATATCTTGCTGGTAGGTATCAAAGCTGTTTATAGTTCATCCATGTAACATACTTTACTGTGACTTTAATTATATAATGCTTCAATAAAATGGGTTTGACCAAATTTTCCTATCTTTCGGTCCCTGGGGCAAAATTTCCTTATCTTAATGTTAAAAAAACAGTTCTCTAGAGCAAAGGTTCTCAAACTGGGAGGAATACAGTCAGTCTTTTGTTCATATGTTAAGGATTTAGTTTTGGTTTACTTTTATTCAAATTTTGGTATTTATGAATATTTTCTATACTTTTTCTTAATTAATTTATAACATATGAAAAATAATCTAAATGTAAATAAAAGTGTATGTATTTTTCGAATTTGTGAAAGGAAGGGGGGATAATCATTTAGAGGGGTACATGAGGCAAAACAGGTTAAGAAGAACCATTGATTTAGAGACATCAGAAATGATTCAGGGTTCCATCTTGAATACCAGCTGACAGGAGGTGGAAATACAATTTCTATATTCCATCTTTCTGCTTTACACATTTCACTTCTTTTCAGGTATGCACATTATATTCATAAAGCATTAGAAAAGAAAGTTCATGAAATGCTTCATTAACAGTATTTGAATAGAAAGGAAGTGATAATTGTAGGCTGAAGAAAAAACAAAGAAAGCACTGGTCATGCTTGTAATTATAAAATGGCAGATCAACTAAATACACAAATGATAGTCTTTCTGCTGGTTAGAATATAAGTTTGAAATTTGAATAAATTTCTGGAAGAAGCATTTTTTTAATTTGCTATGTGATTAGATTGTGATATAACGAAAATGCCAAGCAAAAAGGCTTCAGCCTGAAAGAAAAGGAGTTAAATTGTTAGATTTTGATGCTCTTAGTAATTGCAGCCAGTGGAAACTACATTTAAAGTGGGAATTTGCAAACAGCATTGCACAATTTATTTAAACAAGGAATTATAATTAAGAATCAATATAAAAATGGTATGTCTCGAGGAAAAAGCATAAAGGATAGCTTTTTTCATTAATTTGCTAAATGCAAAGACAGAATGTTGATTAACTGATATATAGTTCACAGATAGGAGTGAGAGAAATCCAACATTCTTCATCAGAAACTGCATGGAAAGAAAGAAGAGGCAAATAATCATGTGATTGATAACTGGATAAAAGACATTTTACCTGTGCTGCTCAATGAATATAACCACCTGAAAGATGTAATATGGACAAAACTGGACTGCATGATATAACGTTACTAGAACACACATTTATATTTAAAAGTGAGATAGCAGCTGGTTTATGAAATTGAAGGAATGAGTACTGTGCTATTAACTTAAAATATGTACCTAACCACGAAGATGACAGCACTGGCTATTGACAAAAACAAAAAAATTCTCAATATTTTGAAGAGTCTAAATGTTTAACCTCTA